AATTGATTATAAAATTTATACATTCAGTTAGAGACCTCAATATATTATAATCAAAATGAAGCTTGTACTATTCTTATTCAAATGCATTATGGCAAGTTTCTTCAAAGCATTCTAAACTCTAGAAAAAGAGGTCTAAAGAGGATGGGGGTCCGAAAAATCGTCATGTTGGGAACCAGTTTTCTCAAAAACTACACGTTAGAATTTCGTGAAACTTTTTTTCTGAATAGACCTAAGTGTACACTACTAGTGATTAAAATATTAGACTTCCCATTTCAGAATTGTAGGAGATAGAGCTCTTTCAAGTTAGCCCAAATTTTGGTGTTTTTCAAGAAATCCCTGTGGGGGACCTCAGGTAGTTGTAAAAATCGTATTTTCGAATTTTGACTCGAAACTTTGTGTATACAGAGGCCTCAACTAGACTAACTTTTACAGAAGAATTCAGAAGTTTGAAGAAAGTGTTTCCAAGATACGGACCTTCTACCACAGAAGTCCTTTTCTAAAGATAAACCTTCATATCTTGACGAGACGTCATTCAAACCTTCTAAATTCTTTTGTAAAAGCTAGTCTAGTTGAGACCTCTGTATACGCAAACTTTCAGGTCAAGATTCGAGAATACGATTTTGACGACTACCTGGGGTCCCCCACAGGGATTTCTTGAAAAACACCAAAATTTGGGCTAACTTGAAAGAGCTCTATCTCCTACAATTCTGAAATGGGAAGTCTAATATTTTAATCACTAGTAGTGTACACTTAGGTCTATTCAGAAAAAAAGTTTCACGAAATTCTAACGTGTAGTTTTTGAGAAAACTGGTTCCCAACATGACGATTTTTCGGACCCCCATCCTCTTTAGACCTCTTTTTCTAGAGTTTAGAATGCTTTGAAGAAACTTGCCATAATGCATTTGAATAAGAATAGTACAAGCTTCATTTTGATTATAATATATTGAGGTCTCTAACTGAATGTATAAATTTTATAATCAATTCAATTTAAGCATAAAGTGCCATTTTTCCCAAATTTGCAAATGCTCCCAAACAATCAATTCTAAAGACATAATTCTGAAAATTATTTTATATAGACAACTTTTTATGCTCTATCCAATGGTGAAATCAAAAATTTCAAGGAACGTCCATGAGGAATGAAACAGACGGATTTCGGAGGCCATTTTTTCATAAAATCGACTTTTGGACCTACTCTGCTGCTGTTAGCGCATAATTTGAGCCATAACTGAATACCGTTTTCTACACAACTCGACGAGGGCTACAAAGCTAGCATGCTTAAATCTTGCCGGGAGAATGTTCTGTAAAAAGTGGGCGGAGCTGCGTGGAAACACCCCCTACCATTTCCATACGCATGTCACCAATTACGTATGTTTCACACAGAACGTGCACTTCCACTGATAGCAATGGAAGAAAGAAAGAGCGTTGCCAACATCAAAAGAAATGGCAATCGAAAAATCAAAAAGAAAAAGAGTATTGAGAGAAGGAAAGACTACTCAATATACGATATATATTTTAAAGAATTACTGAACCGACAATAAATATGATACAGCGGAAGACAAGGTAGGCAATAAAAAAGAACGCCAAAAGTAATCAAATCAATCAGTTATTGAGGAAATGCAGTAAGCACACCGTGTTGTTCTTTTTCACTGCAAAGTGAGAGACGGAAGACAGTAATGGTATAGTGATGACATAAATATTGTCAAAAAGGAATGGTGACATTTAGATATCGAAACGAGTCAGTGAAATTATGATAAGACTCAATGTACTTTGATTTCAACATCTAACGAAAGCATGAATTTTCATAAATGACTGTAGAAAACTCGCGCAAGAAAATGAAGAGGTGACATGCACTAGTAATCATATGCTATCATGAAGTTGTTCGATACTTCTCTTTATTAGAAAGAGCAGACGATGATCTATCTGACTGATTTTTTTACTGGTTCTCCTTTTTTCGGCCGATACTTGTCAGGAGGACAAGCAGTGCTCTATTCGGAGTAGCTTGATACAAAACTATAATAAATAATGCATCTATTCTTTTCTTTTCTGTGCTCTACTCGACAGTTGTTATTGTTAGCAATCTGTCAACTGAAGGGATATATGCTTGCCTCGTTTGACACAGAAAACACTTATCTAATGAACAACTATTGTGATTGTTTTAGTGAATTCAATAGAACGACATAAATGTAGAAAGAAATAGACTAACTGTTCTTTATGCGTTTTAAGCAAATATTTTTATTCATGATTACCACTAGCTGGCATGCACAAGATGATACAAGACAACTGTATTGATTCAAACAGCTATTCTTATATTACCTATAACAGAGACAATAATCTAGAACCGTTCTATCTTGTTTGACTTGAGGCTCATTTCAACAGCATATCTCAAAAAGAAGTGCAAGTTCAACGGTCGCTTTGTACATTGATCGACTATTTGAAGATATTCTCAACTAATGAAAACTCTGAGCGATCTATGCAATCTTTCTCCAATAATCATACAACTCTTCTGATTGTTAGCAATCGATTAAGTTGACATATTGCACCTCATATGCACGTTCAAGGACAATTCTTCTCTCTTTTTATTACTGAAGAAAATGAAGTATGAAAATCTACCTTGCATAGTTTTTTCATTGTCTTATTCATCTGATACTTCATATTGTCGAAGGCAAGAAAAAAAATGAAATCGTTTTAATTATCCTTTTATTCAATATGCGCATTACTCAATCATTTCAATTTCTTGAACAATGACTTATTAGTTTATATCAATTTCTATATTTAACTCTTCCAGTAAATAACTAAAATGATTTCATTAATGACAATTAATGGAAAAATTTAATTTTAAAAATAAATATTTTGAAATTTAATTTTATTGATATCTAAGAAGAACATATTAATTCATAAAGAAATTCAAGCCCATCGGGAAAAAAAAGAAATAATGATGTACGGCACTATATACAAAACAATAGATCTAATGAAAGACAAAACTTTTCAATTATAGTTTTAGGAAAAATAAAAGAATATGTTTACTAATGTTGTGTTTTAATCGTATCTAAGAATAATTGATAATTGTTCGCAAGAATCGTTCAAAGAACATCGTCTAGAAACATAGCAGCCAATATTAGAAAAGGCAAAAAAAGATTCACGACAAAAACAAAATGTATATCTTTTAAAATGTTTAATAATTGAATTGTACAAGATTGGGAGTTTATTTTCAATTGAAATATTAATCAATATAAACAAGCTAATTTAATATGTTAAAGAAATTTGGATTTTTGAACTATAACTCATTTGTTAAATCAGTTATAGTCCTTTATCCATTGAAGTGTTTCAAGAAATTCTTGACCGAACATATTGGTCTTAGATGCTAAACTTGACGATTTTAGAGGTCGAAGTTGTGTAAATACTAAGGAATCTTTTGTGTTCAGTATAGCAGCCATCAGATTGAAAATTTCTAGAGATATTTATATTATCGTTCTACATTTTCATCTCTCACAGATTCAGCTTGTCACAACATTATTGAAATGATAATATTTACGATTTATAGAAAGCCAGTATATGATCTTTCAATATATTTAGGACAATTTTGCTGATTTGTGCTATAAAAAAATTCGATTCTGATAGATAAAAATACTTCATTTTCTTGTGACTTTTGAAAGTATTGATTAGCAAGTAAAAAAACACGTATATGCATATAAAGTAAACAATCATTGAAGAAAAAAAAATATTATCAAATGGTGAATTCAAATATCATTATTAATAAGAAAGCTAAAATACGCTTGAAAAGCTTGTTCTGAGACGGATAGTAAATCATACGGAAACAGTCGAAGTTGGGATGATAAGATCATACGACCTATTTAAGAAAATAAGGTGATTTTATGTTAGCTTTTTCTAAATAATAATCATTCAATACTTTAAAATGATTTAAATCTGTCATTTAAGATTGTTTCATTTCGAAAAACGAAATTAATAACGCAATATATGTACAGAATGGGTTAAAAATAAGGAAACAAAGTTTTTTTTTAGATTTCGTCTCTATACATGAATAATGAAATCTCTTATTTATACCACATATACTAGGTAGTGATAGTAAGATGTATAGCATATTATCAGTCTCTTGGTAGGATAGTTCGTTCCGAAAACATGCCAATGTATCTCGTATGCTCCTATTTAGACTGCAACAGAAATTATTGCTTCCTTGTCGAATTTGATTATTACTTTTCGTCTGACTGTACCGATCTGCATAACACAGCATATTTATATAATGTTTTGCACTTTTTATCTTAAAGAAATTCAAACAAATAATAATGCAATCTGATTTATTCTTCAAATCAGTCCAATCAGACAAAAAAGCGAAAATAAAATTCGACCAAAAAACAGATCAATTTTGCTACAGTCACGAAAACGTATACAAGATACATCGATGTACTTTAGATACAAACTACACTATCCAGAGATTGATGATATGCTACGCCTTTGACTATCACTGCCTAGTATATGTGATATAAATAAGTTTTCTTTTTTATGATCGAAAGCTTGGCCTCTTAGTAATTTTGGTTCAAAATGACTCATACATTTTGTAGTTCTTCTCTTCCTTTGATTGTCAATTTTTTTAAATCTTTTACTTGGTTTTGCTCCTATCACGTGCATCAACGTTGGAAAAATGATGCGTTATGATATGTGTATGCAGTCTTCTTTCGCTATTGCATATTTTCTTTTTTTAGTTGAATGTTCGATTTAAATTATACTTTATTCGTTATTTTAGATTTTTGTCAACTAATATCTATATGGAACAAATTAAACGATCACAAAATAATATTAGGAATGATTATCATGATAGTAAAAGAATAAAAATAAGTAGTAAAAGTTATAGTCAATTTTTTGTGATGATATCCTTTTTTTTTGTTTTTTATAGTAGCACAGATCGAAATGAACTGGTTAGCGTACAAAAAACAATGTCTTTGTTTTTAATAAGTATTTCTTATTTTTTTTTTGGTTTGACAAAAATGTTCTTTACTGCTTTTGAAGATCTCTCTAATGAACTTTTCTATGAAATATTTGAATTTCTTGATTCTTATCATGTGTTTGAAGCTTTTCATGATCTCAATAAACGATTTCAAAATCTTCTTGTTAATTCAAATCTTCCAATTAAAATCAATATTTCATCTATATCAAAATATAGATTTCGACGTTATTTGACACATTTTATCATACCTCACACTAATCAAATTAAATCATTAAGACTATTCAATCCATTTGCTGCTGATATAAGTTTATTACTATTTCCAATAATGACAAATTTAACTCGACTTGAGTCATTAACTATAAATAATATTGAATATAATTATATTGAAGAAATTATAAATCATTTATCCTCTTTACCTGTTTTATCTTCATTAATTATTATATCAATTGATTATATGAAAAAAATCAAAATGATATTTATCAGAAAATATTTCGTTTATCTGCACTGAAATATTGTCAAATGCACTTTGAAACATTACGAAATCTAAGACCTTTGTCTATTTCTACGAATGAATTCAGTCTTATCGAACATCTCATCATCAATAATAAAGTTTTGCTTAATCAATTTGATAGTTTATTATCATATGTTCCCCGACTACGTTGTTTATCATTGGGCCATTTATATGGATATTGAGCGAGTCGAACACCCATGGATATAATTACTTTAAATTATTTGACACATGTGTCTCTTAAATTGTATTCTGTCAGTTTTGACGATTTTGAATCAATCATCAATGATTTTTTTCATAAACTTCAAATTTTACGTATTCAAGTAAGTTGTCTGACATATTTCACTTCTAATATGGAATATTTGAATGCCAATCGTTGGGAGCGATTAATTTCAACTCATATGTTAAACCTATGTATCTTTGATTTTGAACATCAATATCGAACATGGTTTTACAATGATGATCGACAAGTATATGAAGCTCAAATAAATATGTTCAATTCATTATTTTGGATAGAACGACAAATGGTTCTTTGAAAATCAGTATTATCGAATCAGATATTCGAATATTGCTACTTTCTATTCGACAAATCCATATAGGTAGAATTAAACTTGTTTATTTATAACAATTATATATCTATGTAATTTTACTTTACAGAAAAAAATGTTATATTTTATGTGAAGATTTAAGCAAAAAAAAATTGGATCATATGATCTTGACACTAAAGAAAATCCAGTTCATCATGTTTGTATTCATAGTACAAATGTAATGGAAAAATTCGTGGATAATTTTCGAAATGTTACTGAACTTACTCTCTTCGATACATTTGATGTATCCTGCGATTCAATTGTAAGAGGTCTTAATCGTATTATCCCTTTGAAACAACTTTCTACATTATCCCTTGATTGTCATCGTTTTCCTTTCGATCAAGTAATCGAACTACTTAATTCTATATTATTTTATCGAGCAGATTCTATTTCAATTCAACAAAATAAAATATTTCAAATTGTATCCATTACGAATAACTATTTAAAATGTTATAACTACTAAAGAAAGTACATTAGAAGAAATTCAATTACTTGTTGCTCTTTTTCCTCGATTAGAATATCTTACAATTAATTTATATCAAAAAGATTTGGAAACAATAGCAAAATTTTTATTATCGAAATTTAATAATAATAGTCGTCATTTATCTTCATTATGTATTTCAAAACAACGTAGAGATTTGATAGAAAAATTGAGAATTTTGATTGAAATAGAAAAACTTCCTGATGACTTTACGATAAAATTTATTAATCGAAAACTTTATTTATGGTGGTAGATTTTATTTTTTCTTATACTAATATATATACATTAATCTTGAATATTAATATTTTTTTTAATCTGGAGAAAAATTTATCATTAGCATGCATTTATATGATTCTTTTTTTTTAAATCTAAAGAAATGATTCAACAATATTCTTATAATGGAAGTGTTTGTCATGTCAGTTGATTTGATTAACTATATTCGGATTAAACTGTCACCCTCAACGAGAAACTATCAAATTAAAAATACGAACTGCTAATGGCGAGCCTGAATCGAGTTATTCAAATTTTCAGATATTGACAATTTAGGTATATAAAAGTAAGTTCACAGAAAAAGTCATGAATGATTCTTCCACAGAAGCTACTCAATTGTGATCATCAGACTTTGCTCAATTTAATATATGTTGTAGAGAGAATAATTTTAAGAATTTTGAAGCAAGACATTTGAAAAAATATTGTTTCACTCTCGAAATGTTAAAATTTATCTGAGGGCACTTATCGTCAAGAAAAGATATTTGTTGTGATATTCATATCTCATCAAAAATACATTGATTTGGCTTGCAATTTTTTACTGTACATTCATCTCAAGTTGATGTACTTATCAGAGAAAAATGAGTTGAAACGACCGAACTGTTGATGAGTTGATTGTACTAGCAGCTACATGACAAGACAGGCATTTTTCGTTATTTTTCAATAAGACTCTACAAACTGTTCTACAAGACCTCCAGATTAGTTCTTGCATAACTACGTAGTGCTCAGTGTGTCCTGTAACACTACACGGGCTCGACTTCTATTGAGCGCATACTTTAGAAGATCGAACTCACCAAAATGGTGATTTCGGTCAAAATAATGATTTTGTGAAAGATCTTCTGAGCGATAGAAATTATATAGAAAGCAATTCGATAGTTTCTCGTTTAGGGCGATAGTTTAATCCGAATATAGTTAATAAAATCAACTGACATAACAAACAATTCCATTGTCAGTTCACGTTTTATCTGTATTATTGCATTAGAAAATTTGTAAATAATATGAAAATATAGTGTACTTCACAAAATAATTTCCTATGTACAGAAAACAGTTCATATTCATATTTTTTGTATTTGTTCCATCATATGTTTCTGTACAGAAAAAGACAGACAAAATCTATACTTTGTAATTACTGTGTCCTGATGATAATTGTAAGTTAATGTTTTGTAATGTTCTCTTCGTATTTTTTGTATCAATAACTTGTCAGTCATTCATTATTATTCATTAATGAATCAATCGAACATAAACATCTAGTCCACTATATCATCATGCTTAGTCTATTCAAAGTTCATCTGTTAACAAACATTCATCTTATTCATTTTCTTTTGTTAACATTACATTGAGTTTCAATTCATTCAGACTGACAGTTTCGAAAGTATTCACTGTACAAATCTTCAAAAAAAAGGCTCAAGTTATTCAATGAATACAAATACCTGTGCTTATTTCATGGTACTTAACTGTATGAAATCATCGAATATTAAATTACAAAAAAAAACTTTTTTTTTTAACGGACATTCCCATTGTGAAATGACTATGGATTCCATTAGGACACATACTCAAATGATAGTTTCAATCAATTCACTCGAGACAACATTGTTTGAAATAAATTAGTTCTAAACATATTCATATAAGTCTCAAAAGATTCAGCTTGTTAATCATATTGTCTTGTCCACCAGGCAAGGCTAATGAGACAGACAGTGAATATAAGTGGCAAGACAGGTAGTTCGAAACCGCATCCATTTGGTATGCCATTCTTGTGTCGGCTAGGTAAAGTGATTCCAATGCCACCGTGATTAGCCGCTCGCTCGAGAAATAACTGATGTTTTCGGACAAAACGTCGCGCTCGAAATGCATTGAAAACACATAATATCGATCGATGCAAGCCTCTATGAGAAACAGGACGAGTAAAAAAATGAAAAGATACCTCGTTTGTTCGTACTTCAAACAGCCGATGAGCACCATACAGCGAGTGCATAGATGAATATTCATCAGTTCATTCTTCGTCAACCCACTAGTTAACGCACAGTAAAGAATCAAACCGAGAAGTAGACCCTTCATAGTAAAAATTAATGAGGGCACAACCTTGTTTCTTTAGCATACCTTAAGGAAACCAACAAGATTGTAAACAAAACAATGAGTGCGATGTTGACAGCAAAGTTCCAGAGCTCGCACTTCTGTCGTATATTCGCTTGATACATGTGATGGATGATCTTTCAACTCGACCGATTCGAAAAATGCTATACAAACAATGAATATTTATTTGATAGTGAAAACAGATCCCATGAACAAATATCATCGAACTCTTTTCTACTCACCTAATAATTCTTGATTGACTTGCTGAGTACATTCACCTCCTAAGTCGTGTCCTGCATGTTCGAGTTTGACGAGTCGACAGTCAAGTGTCTAAAACAGGATCTGAAATGGCACTTGTTTGAAATAAGAAGGAGAAAATACTCGTTGAAGCATATAGGAATTAGTCTCGCGTACAAGTCGGTCTTCAGTACCCACCATAACCAAGCAAGGAAAATTTGAATATCGAATTTTTAATAGATCAACGTAGCTTATGTAGTGTCGTTGAACGGCAAACATTTGACCAAAATTGCCGACTAGCGATAGGGGAACACGAGTCTTGAATCTTTCACGATAATAATCGTAGAAATACTAAAAGATTAAATATTATCGAAAAGAGGTGACAATAAGAATAAAGAACATTTTCAAGAATGACTTTGCTATGAATAAGTTCAGTTTGCTTGGGTGTTAACTGACCTGTCGTTTCTCAGAATCGCTTAGTGTCTTTCGACTATAAAGCATAGCAAGAGCATTTTCCACAAGTTGATGGTCGTCACGTATTGTAAACGTTCGAATAATGTGGCGCATGCCAATGAATGGCGCTTGACCCATTAAACCACCAGCATGTGTGGCCATGAGGGTGAGTGAAAGAATTCTACGATTTGCTAATAGAGCCAATTCTAATGCAATCATTCCACCCATAGAGACACCCACTACGTGACACTGAGCCCAACCCAGATGATCAATCAATCCCAAAGCATCTTTAGCCATTTGAACTGTTGTATATTCGAATGTCAACGGCGTTGACGATCGACCACAGCCACGATTGTCATAACTCACACACTACTCAAATTGATTTATCAATTCACATCTATTTTCCTTACCTGATAGTTGGATTGTTCACGAAAGAAATCAGTCTACGAAGGAAGAATGAAGTCACATATTACATGAGTAACATATTTTCTTTCTTACCTGATACTTCCAAGCTTGACCTTCGGTTCTCAAACCCATAATAAACAATACTTTAATTTGACCCGAGCCATGTACCTCATAGTATAACTTAACACTTTGGTGCGATACCGGCAAAGTCACATAAGGCATATCTGAAGAACAACATCGAATTCTTTGATTTCTCACTGCAGTCTATATTATTTCTTTGATTGATCATGGAAGAACGTTTCACAAAGATTAGTCATCGTTAAAACAATTCAAAATGAAATTTGAAAAAAATGTAGACATAGTTAACGATTCTATCGAATAACGATATTTGAAGAATTTATAAATTTCCTATTTACTCTATGCTATATGATTCAGACGAATAAAATGCGACACTATTGATCTCATGAAGCCTTATTATAATCTCAGCGCCGTAGCTAAATTCCGAAAACATGAGATATTCATCTTAATGAATTAACTCCTACAGACCTCACCTTTTTTTTTGTAAAGTTTGTTGGCTAACTTAGATAAGTGAATTGCGCCTCGAGGTCGATAAAATATATACACAGTTAACAAGAGAGAGAAAGCATCTATGACACGCCATTTTCATATCAGACTTATCTGTTATCGTGCAGAAACGAGTAAATAGATAAAAGAAAAATGAATTCTACAACACAGGTTGGCCCAAATATGAAATTCAATTGCACAAGAGGCTTGTGAAAGTTGAAATTAAGTCATAGAAACAAGAAAGGCTAAAGTCTTTTGACGACTAACGAAAAAAGGATATATCGTAAGTGTCAAATGTAGCAGAAAATTTTTATTTTCTTGACAGTTATTTTTTTCAACAATAATAAAAGAATTAAAAAGAATTGAATCTTCGAATGTTGTATAAAATGAAATGTCGTTGTTGGTTCTCAGCGAATGACAACAGAGTACTTCGACTATGCTAACTCTATCAATAGTATGATGAAGCCTTCAATAAATTGACATTTTGATCACTTGAATACACGACTGCCAAAACTTCAGACAGTTATAGAAGAGCATTTCATAATAACTAATCTCTATTTTTGATATTTTCTCTGAAAGATAAATCGATGGATTCCTATCACATTTTTTTGTTGGATGAAACTTTTTTCTTCGATTCTGATAATTCAATTACGCCTACTCTTGTGCATAGTCGTTCATAATCCTCACGAAAAAATTTACGTCTGAACTTGGCCGACTTAGCTCATTCTTTCTACACGGTTTCAGTCATACATATAACTGTCAAGCAATAAGCCACATTGAAACGAATTTTAATGTCAGCTAGGATGTGACGCTATGACTCAAGAGAAGACCCCCCATATCCACACTCATGCCTACGTTCACAGCCACACCCTGTCATGTAAATACTTCTGGAAAAATGTATTACGAAGATTCATTAAGAGTAAAGATTAAATGGTTTCAGCTGGATCAGATCATGATTTAATTTGAATAATGCCGTATCAAGAGCAATAGACAAGTCAATGAATTACTTTTCAATGTTATTTTTTGTATAATTTATTTTTTTTTTTGTTTTAATTGTACATATGGGCAGACCATCACAAGGCATTTGCTATCATTTATCACACAGAAAAAGCTATTAGTGGCATATATATATATATATATAAGGAAAACACACTCTGATATACGGTGATGCAATGAGTAGTAAAAACAATTAAGAAACAAAGCACCATGCAAACTATGGACTCCGGTGATATCTAAAGATCGGTTACATTCATTAGTAGAGATCTGACTCAATTAATGGTCAATAGGAATTGCTTTTGCGAACAGACAAATCATTAGTTTCTAGTTCGAGATCTTGTGATTTAGAGTTATGGCAGAAATGCTAATCATTCTTGAATACGATATAAGGAGTGGCAGTTAGTTTGAGTGGAACGATCAAGAAAAAACTGTGACTGAAATATATCAAATCAGACGATATATAAATCTGTAAGTTGTATTTTTTCCGAAAGCTGAGTTTCACGCAAACGCTAAGTATAACAATAATACAGTCGAACTTGTCTGAGAAGAAATACATATGAAAGATATCGGTACATCAAGTCGGTAATTTTAGTTTTTCAAAAGAAACTAACGTCATAAATCATTTCTGTCAACGATATACTGCATATACGATAAATAACGGCTGTTCAGAATAAATTTCATTCCAAGTACATTAGTGGATCCCACATTCGACATTGATTCGATGCTTCATGCATATATAGCCATAGACAATTCTATTAATTTCCTTCTTTTATATCTATGTGAGCACGTTAGTTCTCACATTTCTCTACTTGAATATAATATGTTCAATGAGATTATATCCTTCCAGTAGAAGGTTAGCGATGTTTATGTCACGTTACTTATGCACTCTTCTCGCTTGAATACAATACAATACAATATATGAAGAAAATAATTTTCTACTTAAAAGAAAATCAGCTCAAACATTAGTTTCATCATCATCATTACTAATATTTAATGTATGCTCGCCAATATTGTCGTCACTATCGAAAGGTCATTTTCCAATTCTTTAGCGTTTTTGTCTGCAGCCGTAAATAATTCTTCGTGTTTATAGATATGTGCAAAATAGCCAGAAGCATGTTCAGGATCACATTTTGATAGGGCATTCATTATAAAATTGTACAATATCGTCCAAAGTGAATCATACATTCTGTTATCAAATATAATTTTTTAAGCCCGCCCCATTAAGTTCAATAGGGTTCAAGACACAATGCTTCGCTGGTATTCTAACAATTTCAATATCATGTTTACTCACTATTTTATCAACTACGAATTCTCTTGATGGTAAATGCAAATGAGTAAAAGTTAATTGAATTAACTCTGCTTTTGTCATACAAGGTTCGAATTTGATTTTTCAGAAAGTTAACCAATCAACAAATAATTGTTTTTTTTTTCATGCATGTTTAGGTGGTTCGGACTTTTGTGTTAGCTTCTTATGTCATACGGCATCGTCTATGCTAATAACAATTTTAGTCGTTTTTCCATGTTCAGATCGTAGAGTACTGGCTACATTGTCCAATCATTCGACAAAACGATTGCTGTCCATAAAATGCACTTCATCATACTTGAAAATATCCAATGCACAAAGATGAAAACTGTTTAGACCAATGAGACGGTTAATCACTAAACGCTGTTCTATAAAAATCAGAAAAAAGTTCATTTTATAAGAATTTTGAAGATAAAATCTTAGTCATCACCTTCTTCTTTACTGTTTCGAAAATGATCATACCTTATATCATCAAGCAATACAATTGTTTTTTTCTTCATTTTTCCATCATCAAGTCTTTTCATGATAATATAATATGAAATTACTTGATCGTACCTGACTGATTTTCTAAAGTCCGTGGCACGTTGTGCTAGAACGGTCAATGGATCCATGAAGACCTTTCCTTTTATTCTTTCCTTATACTTTTGATTTTCAACAGTGAAATAGATTTTATCTTTTAATAAGAATTGAAACGTTAATCTATAATCGTAAATTGTCCAAAATTTGTTAATTGCTTTTTTTTGAACGAGTTAAATGGCTGACTGGCGAGAAAAGCGTTGATAATAACGTAGCGTAAGACGAACGAGTAAATCTTACAAATTCTTCTTTGTATTCCTTTCATTCTTTCATTTCATGCTTTGACCGATAGACTATATTCGCGAAATACGAAGTATTGCTTCGACACGATCAGTAACATCATTAAGAGAGATGGATAACCATGCTTTTCTTTTTCAATGAAAGCGACAACAAAAAAGTGCCACTGTCTTATATTGTAACGAAAATTCTTTCAACATTGTCAAAAAAGAAAAAAACTATTAGATCTGAAATGATAAATTATAATATATGCTACAAAGAACAACCCTTACTCATAATATTGTTACAATTTGCCTAAAGTACACGATTGTAGGGTTATATTATCTCTCTTTGTAACACAAGAAAAATTATTTTTTTAATATTTTGTTTTAAAGAAAATGGAGTTCTATGACTTCGGAGAAACTGCCTGATTCATCTACGTTTTGCAAGATAAAACATTTGTATAGATCTAGTTTTATAGGAGACTCTTTGCGCAATCTACTCATGCAAAAAAACCAGTAGACTCTTATGGCAGTTTTTTAGCAATCAAGTACGATTTTACAAAGATTCTATGAAAAACTATTCTCGAGATTTTTTTCTCAGAAAGGACTTTGCTTATGAAAATATGCGTCTAAGTTTTGATTATCAATAGGTGAAAACTCCAGGTCTTCATATTGTTCCTATTGAAAGTTATTCAAAATACATCCGAGTATCTCGAATTCTGGCACTCATAATAATTCTTCTAAAAAAATCACTTGCATCTCCGTTTTGTAGAGTGATTTGAATACTATCAAAATCATTATTTAAATTTCTTCAGTTAATCATCCTTGACGACGAATCTAAAATACGAAGAGTGAGCTAAACTTTTCCTTTACTTTAAAAATAGCTAATTAATTTATGTTGTTTTGGGGTAATTGTTCGAGATTATTCAATAGATGTCGTTGATTTGACGACCGTTTAATTTTGTTTTCTTTAGGCTAAAGAAAACAAGTAGTTTTCATTTTTTTCTTTTGTTATTCTATTATTTCATTTTAATACAAAGTGTTTGGTGAGAGAGCAAAAAAAACATTTTTATTCAATTTTTTCTGAGCAACAACTATAAAAGAACAACACAACATAATTGTGTTACAGAAACAAAAAAGTATTGCTTATTTTTAATTGCGTCTTTGCTTCTGCATAGATCATTTCGTGTTTTACCGAATCTTTTCAATATTGTTAATTTGAATAATTGATTTGCAAATTCTATTCGAATGGATAATCAATATTATACAGGAAATCAAACAAATCGATCTATCGAAAGCGGAACAAATGATCAAAATTATTATATGCCACCGACTGTTTCTCGACCAATAGTTACACATTATATCTATCCAGAACAACTATCAACACCACGAACTACTAATATCAATAGTCAATATACAAATAGTCCAAGAAATAAATGTAAGATGCATTAAAATGAAGTAAAAAGATTGTTTCTTGTTTGTCTTATTGCAATAAAAAAAAATCGAAATATTTAGATTGGTGGGGATCTTCTGGACCTTTTGACCCATATCGAACGACATATCAAGATTATGGTCAAGGGAAAATTCTAAATTATCAAAAACCTCATTCTCATTTAACTCAACCTTATTTTTATCAAGAAGTATGTTGTAAGATCTATATTTTCTTTCTACTTTTTTTTTCTCTCAATTATAAAGCTTCAAGGTATCTATCGTCCGCCGGATTCAAATTCGAATAGAACTGACTTCTACGTACCACCATCACTCAATACGAGTCAATATTCATCGCCTTATGGTTCACCTCGATCAATGCGCTAACAATGTAAACATTTCTTTTTCTTTTTTTTTTCTTTTCTTTTGTATAAAAGCCATTTTCTTGCTTGCTCCATTTCTATATTACGTTCAAAGTAAAACAAGTTGCAACAAAGAGTTTGATTGAATTATAATAATGAATAAAATATGATTTCTTTTTTTCCTTTTCAAAAAATATATTTTTTTTTTCGAAGATTTTTAAAGCGTAGAATGGATTCTACGTGAAAGGAAAGAAAGAATTTTGACAAAAAAAAGTGCAAGAAATTTCTTGATCATTTCCAATGTAAGCGATGAGAAGTTTGAAGCATTTTCGAATGGCTGTCTTTATTATTAATTTCATCTGTTTGTCTATCAGACTTTTCTAGCGAGTGGACTCGGCATTCAGAAAAATGGTTTCCAGTAACAAGAAGCCTTTTCGCTCTTCTCCATTCGGAAACGGTTTTTTTGAGATAGAAAATGGATCTCTGCTTGTCTTTGTTGAAAAAAGAAAAACGTTCAAATTAAAGCATACTGCTACAACTAGTTTTCCATACCAATTCGAACTGAAAAAAGCTTTCCATGGGACCCCTAAGAGATGTTATTTCCACATCCTTTGTAACGATAGTATTCCTATAATTCTAGAAATGGGAATGATCCTCTGCTTTATTTGCCTGAGTCATGCCTGAAAATGATGTACGGAGTTCTGTAGAAACAAGTGAATTTTTTTATGTGAACAAGAAACATAAAACAGTGATTTTCGATCTTAGAAAACAAGACAAAAGTTCAAGGCTACAATTAGAATTTCATCTTTACCTTTATTCATCGTAGCAAAACAAAATGTTGATGTTGTATTTTTCTATGACATGTCAAACAATGTTTTGTTATTACCTCGATCTTCTTTGCTGTCATTTTTGTAATCATATTTTCTCCAAGATTTTTTCAAGAGAATTGAAAGCAAATAGGTGAAATGTATTGTTTTTCATCTTCATTGTTTCTTCTGAATGCGTAAACAGAGATTGATCAACGTGAACGACTTCACAGTTAGCCTGTGATATTGATTGAATCCTCAATGAGTTTGACCAGATGGAAAACTTCAAGATCAGTAACAATGGATGAACTCAAACGTCAAGATGATTACTATCGAAAGTTTTCGTTCTAACTATGTTGAACTACGAAGAGTGACTTAATATTTTCCTAGGCTTCAAAGAGTTGAGAGAATCTTTCAAATTGAATTTGAACTCACTCTGTAGCACATTATTTTTATCCTGAAGGTATGAGTGTTAGTGTGAGCTGTGAGAGCCGCATAAGATTGTAATAGTTAACATACACTTTTCATTTTCACCCACGCTCCTAACTTCACACCCAACCACATTCATATCCATCACTGGCATTTAGTGCAACTGAGGATGTAAGTAGATGGGTAGGTGCGGATACGACTGCGGCGAAGAAAGTCCTTCTTTCATCCTTATCCACAATCACTCACGCCGAGACACATGCACATACTGACACCTACATCCACATGCATACATATCCCCATTCACACTCTCTGAAACTTTCACAATAAAATAATCTCATTAAAATCTATCTCTAAACGAAGTTTCAAGTCAAAATTCGAAAATCAATTTTCCTGGTGTTCCTGAAGGAGTTCACAGTACTGACTTTAAAAATACCATATTGTGCCAGTACCTCAGCAACAATTAGCTGAAAGCCTAAACTCTTTTTAGTGTATTTATAGTTCATGAAGCTCTACTTAGCACACATAATCTCGACTCAAAATCGGTCAATGAACTTGGAAACTTCCCTTGTCAAGCATTTGGTTGACGATCGTAACATATTTTAGATGATCAATATTTGAAATACATCTATTACAGTAAACTTGCGCAGATAGCTATTTCGATGAGCTACAAATTGAGATGAGATGTAATTCACACAATTATTGATGTTATTGTTAGGGTAATTTCAATGTAGATAATTTTGCATAAATAAACGATTCTATGCGTTTTTCTATTCTATTTTCAATCTGATCAATTATAGTATATCGTTTGTTATTATATCGCATATTGAAAGAACAAAAAAAAGTTCATTTTATAAACATTACCTTGTAGCAAGCATTGCCTTCGAAGTTTTTCATTATTTAAATGTCTTTTTCATTTTTTTAATGATTATAAAGAGAAAAACAACCACTAGAGAAAAAATATACTTTGTTGATAGTTTCTCAATATTATGATTAACAATTAGTTGGATGAAAGTTCGAATAGTAAAAACTTATTATGTAAAATGAATTCTTATCCATTTCCCCTCATTTCGTTATTTTCATAATATTCTTCTTATGATCTCATTATCTGCTACATGGTAAGTCTATCTAAGAAAAAAATTAATTTAATCTAAAAACTTAGACATTCTACTTTTCTATTTAATGATATCACAACAGTTTTGCATGTGGTTGAAAAGTTTCAATCGTTAATATCGAGTGCTTTGAATTGATATAAATATGTTAAGAGATTTTATGCAGAAAAAAATTGACTAAAAAAAAAAATAAAACATAAAAGCTAAGAAAAATACAATAACATTTTTATAGCTCAATGCCTTTGCTTTGCATGCTTCAAATAATTTAACGTGTGCATAAAAAATTTTAAAATAGAAAGCAGAAAAGCAAAATGGAATGGTTCGGTACCATCTAAGCATCTGTCATTTTTCTTCCTTTTGTTTGCAGAAATGTTGCTTTTATATTTTTTTTTCTCACTTTTGGCTTTTATTCAACCCAGTGCTCAAATAACATATTTGTGTAACTCAACTGCAGCATGTGGATGTTCGACAAATCCAGTATTAGTTACAAAGATTGTCGGAGGAGAAACGGCATCTATAAATACATGGGGTTGGATTGTATCTCTTTTCATTAACCAAGCGTGGATGTGTGGTGGTACAATATTATCAAGTTCTTGGATTCTCACAGCAGCACATTGTGTTGAAGATGTGCAGAATCCTTCGCTAGTATTAATATCTGCTGCAACAGATCAGTTGTTTGGTTGGAAACAATCGCGATCGGCATCTACTGTTATTATACATCCACAGTATAATGGTAGTATGTTTGAAAATGATATTGCTTTAATTAAAGTCTCAGCACCATTCAATATGACAGATCTAAGTATTTCAAAAATATGTTTACCAATCTCGACAACAGAAGATTATCCACCAATAAGCTCAACAGTATGTAAACTTTTTTCTTTTTTTTTTTTAATAAATAAATCGAATTCACGACCGTTGCACCCCGGATAGTTGTTCAGGTGACACTCGCTCTCCAACGCAGCTTGTCATCGAATAAGTCCTTCTTCATTGAAAAGCTCAAAATGGTTTTTAAAATGTCAAAAATTCATAGAAATTATGAAGAGGCTCGAGCAGTTATAAGTCAGTACAATTTTTCAAAACCAGTCAGAAATTTACGAATCAGTTTCAAAGAGTGTGACTGTAAGAGTGAAACTCTTCCCTAGTCCTACGCACTCAATCATCCTCAAAAGACTCATATACGTACCACACGCCTCCATACTCACCTCGACGGCTACACTAACACCTACCATAGGAGAGCAGCTATACGGTGAGCAAGTTCATAGGAGTAAATATCTGGGATCCAATACTTGTCTTATCAAATAATTTATATTGATAATTATTTCTATTCTTTTCAATATCAAGCTTGTAGCGATTGGCTGGGGAGACTTGACGGAACATGGTATTATATCTGAAACGCTTCAACAAGTGACACTTCAACGTATTAGATATGAAAATGTTGCATGTTATCGACTAGTTCGTAATGCAACAATGCAATTTTGTGCAAGTGATCCTAACGGTGGTAAAGGTAAACAAATATTAGTCAAGAAATGTAGGTACTAATCAGATAATATTATATGAGTATAGATACATGTAGTGGTGACTCTGGTGGTCCTCTGATGATGTTCACATCAAGTCAACAATGGGCTATAGTTGGTATTACATCATATGGATATGGATGTGCACATGCAAACTTTGCTGGTGTTTATACTCGCGTTGTTTACTATTTGGATTGGATTCGTTCAATGACTGGAACTGATGCAATAACGGTTGACGTTGTTACAAACACTACGATGACAGCAACACTGATAACTAATACACTAAATTCAACAAATGGCAGTTTATCTTGTTATCCACTTTTTTATGTACAATATATTATAGCACCAATCCTATTCTATTTTATCTTTATTTTATCATAATGTACTTAGGATATATCAACATCAATGAGATTTATATACTAAAAAAAAGTTAAGAAAATTTGATATAGAATTCATATTCATATATGTTTGTAGTACTAATAATCTTCTATATTTGTGCATGGCGTGATCATTGTTGAACAAATACTTTTATATAATAAAGTACACTTAATATAAGGAGAAAATTGTCCTATTTTGGCCGAAATTCTGTTGACAGCGACGAAACTCTATCTTATAATACAGTTTTCAAGTAGTCAAAATGGTTTCGTTAAAATTCGGAAGAGACTGGACATCAACCATATTTTGTTTAATGTGTAAGAGAGGTGCCATCTAAAAATGTCAAAGAAGTTTCTTGTCTTATTGGTAATGATCTGCATCTGAAGGTTGACAAAATGAAAGTGAAAACTGATATTAGTAATGAGACTATTAAATGAATCCTTTGCGGGTATGTAAATTTAAGAAAAAAAGCTATTCATCTTTGTGTAATCAACTTGCTAATTAATACCAAATGTGTTGAGCGCGTCAAAATAGATAAAGAAGATTTAGCGAAAGGTAAGTCAACGAACGTTACTAGAACATGAGGTTTGAATAATCTGTCCATTACATCATGATTGAAAGCATCTTTGCTTTGAAAACATTATTCTATATTATTTTCGACATAGTTAGTTTCATGATCATTTGTCATGTGAAATGAAGATAACCTATTGATCACTATTATGATATTTATCATCATTTACAATCCTTTATCAGCACACTGGATAACGAAAACCAGGATTTACCACACATGATGTTAACTTTCATCGCGTTAATGTCAGACCTCATCTGCATGAAAATATTAATAACTATCTGAAATCCAAAGATATTCCAATTACTCGATAATTATCACATTTTCTTGATATGGCATTATGTTACTTTTGGTTGTGACCTAGTGAGATAAAAACTCTAAAAAAAAATTTAATAGTTGACTAAGAGAATCACAATGTAGTTTTAAATAATCACATCAACTATTTCGACCAATTGATGACATTAAATCTTATTTAACTTCTTTCTAAACTTTTTTTCTTCGTAATCTCAGTAATTTTGGTATTACTTAAGTGTTTTTGATTTTACTTAGATATACACTATTTCTGAGCATAATAACAATGCCAATTATAAAAACAAGGATGCGTTTTGTATTTCAATTTTTAATCACTTAATATATCGTATTAAAAACAACAAAATATATCACAAGATGCATCGTGAAAAGTTCTACAATTTACAAAGGACAACTTATTGTATAGCTACGTTTTTTTGTTTTCAAAATGAATGAAATTCTATGCAATGAGTTTTCAACGCTACAGATATAGTCCTATTTTTGTTAAATGGTCAATTCGCTTTTTTTTATCTCATCGATTGAAGAAGATTCTATTCACTGACAAAAATATTTTTCATTAGAACATGTTTATGCTGCAAAATGAACAAGATGGTATAAAGCAAACAATTATATACAAAAAAAAGTATGGTTAGGTGCTTCTAAAAATGGTCTCACGTTTCCAATTATTTCTAAACTTGGTAAAACATTATCACATGAGAATTATATCGAAGCTATTCTTCACATGCACAATCTGAAGGTAAATAATTGTTGGGTGATATTTTCATCAACCAATAGGACAACACAACATCACACATACATCAGAATACTGTTAATGAATCAGTTAATTTTCAAGATACTTAAATGATTTTTACATCATTTGTTTCAGAAAACATTGCTTCACTTAGTAGTATAAAAAATTTACAAGTTTCTTTAGGAATTACTTTAAAAAAAAGAGAAAAATATATGCTTATCCGCAAAACCTATTCGAATTCGAAACATTATCTGTACATGAAAACTCATCCAAAATACAAAAGAGTTAGAGACTGATTTCAATTAGATTGATTCAAACCACTAGAGTTGATTAGAATCCTTTTTTATGTGCAAGATGTAAATGTTGCTTATCATAACTGTTTGCACATAGCTTATCTAAACTTTTTCATGCTGACACAAAATATTCTCCTTTATTTCTTCGTTATCATTCTTTATTCTCAACATGTTATCAACAAGCCAACAACGTGTGATTCTTGTCACTGGCGCCAACAAGGGCATTGGCTATGAAGTTGTGAAGAAGCTTGCAAATGAATTACCACTCAATAATAATCTTATTCTTCTTGGCTGTCGTGATTTGAAACGAGGTGAAGATGCCCTGATTCGATTAGGTTCTCCTCCGAATGTTCACCTTCTTCATTTGGATGTCTCATTACGAGAAAGTATCACTCATGCTACCAACAAAATCAAATGTGAATATGGCGGTCAACTAGATATCATCATCAACAATGCTGCTATTGGGGAACTAGAACTAACTGTCGATATAGCTCGAACGATGTTTACTACAAATTATTATGGTATCAAAACACTGAATGAACATTTATTTCCTTTCATACGAGAGAATGGTCGTGTGATCAATGTGGCTAGTATATCTGGTTCTATTCTATTGTCTGAAGCTTCAAAAGACCTTCAAGAAAAATACTTATCATCAACATTGACCACAGAACAACTCGATTGTCTTGTAGAAGATTTCATTTCAGCTATTGAAATAAATAGTTTCGAAGCACTAGGATACAATCCCAAGTCATCTTACTTAATTTATAGTGTCACCAAGGCAGCAGTTATTGCTCTTACTCGAATCGAAGCCCGTCAATGGTCCGGATCTAAAAATGTACTTGTCCTTTCTGTGTGTCCAGGATTTTGTGCTACTGATTTAAATAGGAATGCACCTGGTGCTCGTCCTGCCGAATTGGGTGCTGATTCAATCTTACATGTCGTCAATGCTCCTCAAAATGAACTTAAAAATGGTTGTTTTTACCGAGATGGTCAACAACTACCACAAGTTTATATGATCGATGACAAAAATTGAGCCATTATTATATGAAGTATACTCTTCCCTCTTGATTACGAGCGTTGTTTGACAGGTGGGAACAAGTGGAGTTCCATACTTCGACGCTATTTTAAATTTTTTTCTACTGTTTTTATCTGACATAAATACAGTTTGTCTTACATGAACTTTTTATCCTTATGTCTAAATAATAATATTTGAAATAAACATACAATATGAAATCATATAGATCAAAGGAAAATATTGAAAAAATAGCGCATATAATCAATTATAAATGGATAGAAGTGGAAATTGATTACATTTCTTTAACACATGCAGCACGATTCGATTTTATTAGAGAGTAGCTCTACAGATTCATTTTCGTGTGCATGCCTCTTTCGACAAATGCACTCCTTGGCCATTTCAATCTGTGCTGGCCTGTCCTTTTCGCTTTTCTGTTTATAACATCACATGGAGCGAAGTGACTGTTCTGCAGTTTCGCAAAAGTCTTGTGAGCTCTTTACTGCATGGCATGCCATTCGAGAAGCTGAAATCTGATCCGAGACAAAAATCAGCAACCCATTCGAAGCGCAAACTAGCTGATCGCAAGCTCAACGAAAAGGAAGGATCTGCGCCCAATGTCGACAGACGCTATACTGGTTGCTATGCGAAGGGAAGGCCACAACAGTTAAGAGAAGCGAGCTATGCGGCAGCAAAAAAAGTAAAAACCTTCTGTTCTGACAGTGATAAAATTTTTCTGTCTTGATTGCTGTAACAAGAAGCATCATGCTATAGAACAAAGGACTCAAAAAAAAATTACTGAAGGCAGAACAGATGGCACACTATGTTTAACCTTCTGCCTAAGAAAAAAGCAAAAGAAAATGCTTTTCTACACGGTTTCTCATTAAAATTTAGTGTGGCCCACCGGTGGACCACATCGTGCTGAATGTGTTAATAAAACCATTATTTAACAGCAGATATCGAGTTTATATTGATGTCGATGATCATTTTATTCAAGCAACTTGACGATTAGCCATCACCATGATGATAGACATATTCATCACTAAATGAAAAAGAAAAACCACCGCTCATGCTTCGCACATTGCCTTTAGGATTTCTATCCATCATGTTATTTATTTGTTCGCCTATAGAATCTCAAAATAGATAACAAATAATTATTCTCAACTGATTCATTTTATATCTCAGTTCCCTAATTTTAACTGAATAGCAAAAACGATAGTTGCTCTGTCTCAACGCAAAATTCCGTATTAAACAAGGCTCACACCAATCCATATAAGAACAGACTACAAGATTCTCTTCTTCTATATAGTTTTTAATTCGAAATATTTCTTTTAATTATCAAACTTTTTTGAGAAAAAGACTAATTATAAGAAAATCATCAGTGATTATATCAAGACACAAAAAATATGAGGTTTGAATAACTATAAAAGAAATAACTTCAAGTTTGAGCGAATAGTTTACTAGCGTACTAATTCATATTTTATAAATAACTATTGAATCGATCGATCGTTGTATTTCGATTAGATACCTAATTGCAACAAAATTTGACAGTATAAAAACTATTTTCGAAAATCTAGACTAAACTTGTTTTAAATGATTGAAAGATCATTTGCTCATAGGAAAATATGGGTTGATACCTTTATGCTATTATGCTTTTTAAGGAAGAAAATTTGAAATTTTCGACGAAACAAATTCTCTTGCTTAACGCTTATTTGAATTCTTGAGACAAAGTCCTAGTGGGTTTACTATTTGATTAATTTTAAGGGAGAAATTTCACAAGAAAAATTAAATAACATACAGATTAAAGAAAAATTCAACAAAAAGTAATCGATTTAATAGACAAAGAGTTGATAAAATGGGAATGACTTACTATTTATTCCACCTTTGACATAGTTGGATCGAATGATCATTTTGATGTTCTTCCAAAACACCTTCATAGTTATCTAAACCGCTTCACATTGTGAGTATATAAATCAATTAATAGAATTAGATATCAGTATATACGTATGAATAAATGAACAAAAGCGATTCGATCATTGCATTTATGAAAATTCTTTATTTTGCGTTCTTATTATTCGAGAAAAGATATGAAAC